ACGAATTTTCCAGTTGGCTCGGTCCTTTCGGAGACGGAATTTAAACTAGGAGGCCCCGCCTCTTTAATAACCTAATAGTGTTGATAGGGGCGTTAAACCTATACCATTTCATTTTTGTGTCGCTGTCCTTCTCTTTACTGCATCTAACCAGCCGTAACTAACATGTGGCAGAGAACATCTGAAGAATCAGGACATGTACTTGATGCGATTGACTGATTGGTTGATTGATTGCTTGATTGACTGGTCGATCGACTGGAATCGAATTTCATACTTTGACGTCATTCGAGATCGAAATCACTTGGAGATAATTGCCGGTAGCTGTTATTGGGATGTTTTTGTATCGAGCGACATCGACGTTTGTGGTGTGGACGGTTGGGTATTTTGCTGTGTGTGTGTGTGTGTGAGTGAGTGTGTGAGTGTGTATAAGTATATGTCATGTGTATAAGTCTTTATAAGCAGGCTTCATGGGGGATGGTTGACGGGTGCTCTGGTGTGGTTTGCTCCTTCTTCCCTATACAAAAAATCTATCACCTCTATCTCCCCTCCTTCTTTTTTGTGTTTGTTACTCTCTTGTAACACCTCTAATCTTCGGCACTTATATGACCTTATTGTGTTGCAAGTGACGTAAAACCCTTACTGAAAAAAAACAGTTTGTGGTGTGGACAGTTGGATATTTTGCCGTGGAGCGCAGGTGGACTTGAGTTCGATTCCCACGTAGGAAGAATATTAACTCTATCCCTACGCTCTAGGGTCATTTTGCACCACCGGGGTTGTATGCTTCACATTTTAGAATACTTCTAGTACGAAGATCTCTTTCGAAACTTTCCGTATTTCTCAAAAAATTATTTTGACAGACTGCTATGCAAAGATTAACGAGTAAATTTCCTCTTTGGAAAGTAGTGGCACATATTTCCCCACGTCGTATGGATAGATAGTAAAACATGACGTACGAATAGGGTTAAGTGGTGGCACAGAGTTTCACATGTCGTATGGATACGATAGTAAAACACGACATACGGATAGGGTTAAGTGGTGGCACAGAGTTCCCCACGTCGTATGGATACGATGGTAAAACTCGACGTACGGGTAGGGTTAATTGATGGCACAGAGTTCCACACGTCGTGTGGATACGATAGTAAAACTCGACGTACGGATAGGGTTAAATTATCTAGTATCTCTGTCTTTCTTATGTTATTATAATTTTGCGTCACTTTCCGTCTAGGTTTGTGTTGGTAGGTATGGTCGAAGATGTGTGTTCGGTTGTTGGTTTTTTTTGGGTTTTTTTTTTTGGGGGGGGGTGTATAGGTGAGTGTTAGTGAGAG